GAATTGAAAGAACTATGCTTGGAATATCACGATTCACTCAAATGAGAGATAGAATCCGGAGTTCTGATCTTCATCAACGCTCAAGAATCAGGGACGCTGTCTCATTTGCCAAGACATCAAAAATCAGATGGGCTGGACACGTAATGAGGTTTACAGACAACCGCTGGACTAGAGCCATTACTGATTGGATTCCACGAGACATCAAAAGATCACGTGGACGCCCACCTATAAGATGGTCAGACTTCTTCGTCAAGACCCTAAATGATCAGTTTGAGGCTCTACATGTTCCTAAAACGAACAGATACCATTGGGCTACACTAGCACGCAACCGGGATGAATGGAGACGTTACTGGCACCCGCTCAAATAAATCGATGAATAACGGGGATTAAGTGATTAAGTGAAGTGGAGAAATATATGTGTGTGTCAGGGAAAAATTATTGTGTGTATATGTATTAAAACCAGCCTCAGTTAAAATCCTGAGCTCAAAATTTCAAGAGCGCACATGTGGGCCTGTTCCTTCCTTTTGCCTTGTTGCCTCCGGGAAAGCAAGATGGGTCACCAGCAGCTCTATTGCAACCATCCAAGAAAATTTGGCCAGGGATCATGCTCTTGTTGCGTCTTCAGATCAACATGGCCTAATCCAGAAATACAGCCTCAATATGTGCCACCAGTGTTTCTGCCAGTACTTGAAGGACATCGGCCTCATCAAGTTGGACTAAATGAACTTCGGGAATTGATCATCAGAGACACCTACTGACAGCAGAGACAATGCTAGCTCTTTGTACATACAATAAGGTAAGGTAAAGGCCCTCCCGTTGATCGTCGGTAACTTCAATTATCAGTAAAAAGTAAATAAATTAAAATTTAAAAATAACAGCCTCACTACTACAGGGAATGTGCTCTACCATTTAGCCACATCACCTACCATAGGATAATATTCTCCAAGTATGCGGCAAACAACACAAATTTAAAATGTGGTATATTATATTATTAGAAATACGACAAAAGCAGTATTAAGAGAGACATTAATATGACACATCACAATCAAATCCAGGCTTCCCGAGTGCAAAGCAAGTGCTCCAGTCTATTGAACACTTCTATTTGTGCTCCAAAACAGGAAGAGAGACATAGAGAGAGAGAGAGAGTGAGAGAGAGAACTTACACTAGTACAAGCTTATCACAGGTTAGAAGATAAGCCTCAATCCAATATTACTGATAAGAAGACTACAAATGAAAAAACTTAGTCCAAAATCATTGGAAGAATGAAAACAGTGAAATCAAAGTAGAAATAAACAAAGAAAGAAAAAAATAATTAAAGGACTTATTTAAATTAGAGAGGGCAACAATATCTGTTCCTAATATTATTATTAAGGTACTATTAATATTATTAACAAGGTTTCCATATTCTTGATTAGAAGCAAGAAAAGGAAATAAAAAGATCCATATTGGAAAGGAAGAAATAAAGCTATCACTAAATGTGATTTTTGTATACCAAGGGTTTTATACCCCAAGGGTTCCCCCAAGATGCTGTTGTAGAAGTAATAAATGAATACAGCAAAGTAGCCAGCTGCAAAATCAATATATAAAAATCTTTCGCATTTCTATTTCTTGGGGGCGGGGGGACACAGCTTGCAGTACTCAAGAGCTATTCCTGCCTCTACTTAAAAGTGACCTCTGGTGGTACTTGGAGGACTATATGCAGTGCCAGGGATCAACAGAGGTTGGCCACATGCAAGACAAGTACTCGCCTCCCACCCCCCAGTCTATGTCTCTGACCTTCAAATCGGTTGCATTTCTAAGTACAAACAATGAACCAGCAGAAAAAGAATGAAGAAATCAATGCCTTTTATAATCACATCAAAAAGTATGAAATGGATAATAAAAAAATTAGCCAAGGGAGTTATAGATCTGTCATCTAATTTAAAAATGGAGAATTTTAAATAGGCATGTTATCAGATGATGTATAAACAACCAATAGACACATGAATGACACTCTTTATCACTTGTCATTAAGGAAATGCAAATCAGAGCCACAATGAGATGCCACCTCACACGGGTGAGAATGCCTGTTATCAAAAATAAACAAAAATGGCAAATGCTGGCAATAATGTGAAGTAAGGGGAATCAATGTGAGTGGGAATATAAATTGTTGCAAGCACTATGGAAAAATAGTAAAGAAGTTCCTTAAAAATTAAATATAGAACCACCATAAAAACTAGTCATGCCACTTTTGGTTATTTATCCAAAGAATATGAATCTGAATAGAGGCATCTCTGTGTTCATTTCAATGGCCACAAAATAAAAACAATCCTTGCGTGGATAAAGAGGTCATATATGTATAAACACAGAAGAATGCTTCTTGGCTATAGGATATGGATTCTTGCCACTCACAACTGCATGGATGGGATCTGAGATGATTATGCTAAGTGAAATAAGTCAATCAGAGGAAGGCAAATACAAACAAGTTCCCTAATTTGTTGAGTATAAAAGTGAAAAATTAATGAACAAACAAACCCTTTGGCTCTGACAACAGAGAAGTAGCTACCCCAGGAGAAGGTGATATGGGAAGGCTGGACCAGAGAGAGGGGACCAATCTATCAGTGTTAGGTAGTGAAAGAATAGTTGGGTGGTGTGGTAGACACAGCTACCGAGGTGAGAAATTGCACACCTAAACCTAGACAGTTTGCAAACTAAAGTACCTCATTCTAAACCAAGTCACCAAGGCTATAAAGCTAGGACAGGGGCAACTGTACTACCTGTATTACACATAGTCGACCCTGGCTTAAGCCCCGGCATCACTGTGCTCCCCTGAGCACCCCCAGAGTGATATGTGAGCACAGAGCCAGGGATAAACAATATGTACCACTCTTGTGGCCCCCCAAAAGACAAAGAGATATTGATCTTTTAAAAGATCACAAATAAACAAATGAAACCAGGCCCACAGGGGTTCCTAACTTTCTTCAGTACTTTCTAACTGGAGAGTCCTTGGCAAGACTTCTGAGGTTATTATGACTCAGTTCTTCCCCCTATATGATGAGAAGCTATTTTATAGGAATGAGAGGATTAGAAATAACACAAAGCAGGTTCTAAAATAAATGATAGACTTTCTTAACTTCCTTTATAACTGTCTAACAAACTTCCCTAAGTTAGCCACCCTCAGCCCTGACCTTCTTTTCTTCATTCTGTGAGACAAATGCTCTGTAGAGTTGAAACCGTTTTCAGAGAGGAATCAAAAATGTTTCTCTTGATGGAGACATGAACTCATCTGGAAGTTAAGAATTTGGCATGATGTTTCTTGCTTTTCCCAAGTCTTTTCAAAAATGTTTATGCATTGGGGAACGCCTTCTCCTCCCGCCAATTCAAGTCACAGAAATCAAATGCATTGTGTCATATTTTAAACATGTACAAGTAGAGGCCAGAAAGATACTACAATGAGGATGACTCTTCCTTTGCATGTTCAATTTCCCAGCATCCCATCTGGTCCCTGAGCCCACTAGGACTAGTTCCTGAGTGCAGAGCCAAGAGTAAACCCTGAGCAGCACTGGGTATGACCCAAAAAGACAAAAATAGAAACACATAAGAAATATGCCCATATCCCCCCGAATGTATAGTACTGAAATAAAAAGGGAGAGGGAGCACTTAATTCACAGTTTCCTGTTCCAATCCCATCCTGCATTCTTTCACCTCGACCGCTGCTCACTCTGCTGTCACCTGTTACAAGGAGGGGCAGGAATAAGCCCCCTGAAGAGGGCAGATAATATGCAGAGCCCCACCACTTGAGCCTCTTGGCTTTCTACTTCAAAAACTAAAACCTGAGACTTGGAACCCAAGAGGCTGCTTTGTAATCTCTAAGCTCTCTCGCCAAAGTCAGAGATAACTGGGCCAGTCTCCCTCCTATAGTGAGCCCGTTTGAACTTCTGGTTGTTGTAAAAAAAATCATTCAAGCATATCATAAAAGTAGTTTCCTCTTGGATGATCGTTAATGAATTTCAGCTTCCAAATTATGCTTCAACATTTTAGAAGATTTTCCGTTGGCTGACCTTTGCTTTCACTTTCTAGAAGAGTTTTATTCAAGTAGGTCATCTCTATAAATACAGGACACGACTAATTTCCTCCCATGCAGTTCTGTGGTTCTAGTTATAAGCACAAAGAACAAGCAATTTGTGACTCTTTGCAGCAATACATTTGTCCTTTACCACTGCCATACTTCCTCTCAAATGAGCCATTTCTTCTAACAATTTGGTACAATTCAGAAAAGCAGTTTTTACAAATGTCCTTTTCATCACTTTAAGGGATAGAATTATATAAATCTAAAAAACAATAAAATAAAAATGAATGTACGAGTTTAAACAAAATAAGACATTTTGATCGTTTCTTTTTCATGTTTAAACTCCCACACGCTAAAGCCTACTACTAGACATCCTAATATTTGATTGGCTAAACAGACAGAAATTTGCAGTTTTACATCCCCTATCCTTCATCCGAAAATGACTATTTACGTCTGAATGATCTTGACAGCTCCTTAACGATCTGTTGAAGGCTTTCATATTTACAGTTTACAAGAGGTTTTCTGCTTTGCAAATCCTCGTGAGAGTTACATACTCAGACATGCAGACAAGAAGACAAGAATATTTCCAGGACCTGCTACTTTTGTTTGTTGAAATAGTAATAGTTTTAAAATTTGTACTCGAGACTCTGAAAAATTATCAAGGAATCCACAGCATGACTCTGAATGAGTAGTTTAGAAGTTGGCAGTTAGTAAGAGAAACCCATGGTTTTATTCTAGAACTTCAGTTTTGTATCAGTATCTAAATGTCTCCAGTAAATCTCCACACACCTGCTCACCCCTTCAATTGTCAAGTCGGAAAAGCACAAAGCAGTGCCAACTTGTACATATAAACAGGTAAACCAGCAGTCCCTCAAAACCACCCAGTGACGTAAAAGCAACACACAGAAGTGGATACCCATCAACAAAGAGATAATGAAAACAAAGCAATACCTGTTCTTCAGCTCTTTGGTGTCTCAGCATCGACAAATATTTCCTAATGGCATGGAGAGGATATTTTTTGAAATAAGAGACTCGAGACTGGGGCAACAGATTAGCCATGGCGAGGAAAGCAAGATAAAAGTCCTTGTCTGGCCCACCCTGTCAGTCACCATACGAAATTTTGAAGCTTCCCACTTTCAATGATGCCTGAGGATTTGCTCGCTGTTGCCGGCCACTTTTCCTCCAAACAAAGCAAATGTTCTTCTGGCTTCTTCCTTCTCAGGCCCAGTTTCTGCTGAAACCAGACAGCCAAGTAGGAATCGGATCTAAAAGCATCCAGAAAGGCAATGTCCACAGGGCACTGGGAGCCAGGTGGAATTCGGGGGCTGGTCCACAGAATGCAAATGACTTCGTGGTAGTGCTGTTACTGTCCTATTTCTAGAACAGCGTTCTGGTGTGAGCTATGTTAATATTAGCTAGCTGATGACTTTCCACACCCACAGACTCTCGGGAGGTTGCATCTGAATTCTTCTGACAGCCCTTCTGTCTCTTAAAGAGGACATGACATGTGACTTTTCCCATTTCCTTCTTCTAGATTTCTTATCCTTGGGAACACACACAGACAGCCCAGAGCTGCCTCTCAGCCCTGCAGTGTGGATTCATTCTGGCTGGAGAAGTGTAGTTTGGGGAAGATTTCTGGAAAAAAATTAACAAATTACCACACTCCTCATTATGATGGAGAGCTGTGGGCACTGAGAGCTTCACCAGGTCATGCATTATGCAGTATCCTCTACTTGCAGTTACTTTACCTGAAGTGAACAATTGAGGCAAACAGATTCTCCTATGAGTTCAAAGGCTCCTCTCCGCTTCAAATCCTTATCTGAGATCCACAGACTGAATCCAGGAATAGGACATCTCCCCAGGATTTATTCTGAGTGCAAGAGAGAGAAAAATGTCATATACGCTTTCCATGATAAAAAGGATCTATGCTTTTGATTAAAAAGAACATGAGAAGTCTAAGGTCTTAAAGGAGCCAAAATCATGAACCTTGGAAGTTCAATATTTTCTTCCTGTGCAATAGAAATTACCTGTGGAAGCTGAACAGTCTCCAATGCTGCCTTATGTTTTATATTGTTGTAATCCTTTTCACTTTGCAGTGCTCAGTTCATTTGATGGGAACATTTAGCCACTTCTGTGAGGAGCTGTTGCAGAGAGTCTAGGCTGGACATCAGGAAAATCCAGGGATTTGCTTTCAAATGGAAAGAGAGAGCTGGGCATTTTCTCTGCCCAGTGAATGCTGAGGTCGGAGTGAAGGGTAAATAGAGGGTGGGGAGGGCCCCACATTCTAGCCCAAGCCAGGCCCGTGGACATCCCTCCTGCCTCTCCCAGCTGGCCTCCTGCCTTCAGGGAACACACTTGCAGGCCCTAGCGTGGGCTGTACTGTGAGTAGGCCCTGACCAGCTGTCAGGCTGGCCACAGGCCCACTTGCAAGGTGATCTTCCTCTTACCAGGGCCCCTGCTGACAGTGCTGAGCAATCATTTACATAAAGCTGCTGCAGGGATGGACTTCTGGAGAGGCCCTGCCCTCCTGTCTGCTCTCCAGGTGTACCCTCTGCACTGACAGACACTGCCAGCCCTGTGCACGCTGCATTCTAATGAGGCCAGAGAGCACCAAAATACACAGAGCTCCCTGCAGTGCACACTCTGCTAACCCACAGACCAGAAACACCAGATAACCGTGCACCCAGCAGGCCCAGACCCTGGAAAGAGGTGGGAGGGCCCTGGACATAGTTGGGGACAATAAAGGCACTGTTTCTAGACTCCCTCGAGGAATTCTCAAGTTGCCCTTTCCCCTCCCCTCTCTTTTCAAGTATGCAAATCTTCAGAGGTGCCTCTTACATGGGCAGAAGTCAAGGGCCAGACAACACCCACTACACCCATGGGGATCTGCATCCAATGGACAGGCATGAAGCAACCTTTCTTCCAAAAGAAGTTATTCTAGACCTCCTCTTCCCAGGCTGAGGAAAGTGACTGGAGATCTGGGAGGGAAAGGGAGCAAATAAATAATCCCACTCCCCTAATTTTGTCCCTACTAGGTTCAAGAGTACTAGAAAAGCTAGTGTAACAAATACAACCAAAATTTGGGGACTGGAGCAATAGGACAGCAGGTACGGCGTTTGCCTTGCATGCAGCCATCCCGGGTTTGATTCCTAGCATCCCATATGGTCCCCCGAGCATTGCCAGGAGTGATTCCTGAGCGCAAAGCCAGGAATAACCCCTGAGCGTTGCTGGGTGTGACCCAAAAAGTAAAACAAAACAAAAACAAATACAACCAAAATTCTCATAGGTGTTTAATTGATAATAGGTAGGTATAAATCATCTCCAACATCTTATTGTACCTTTTGCTGAAGCAGTGCAAAATCATTTAAATGGAACTGCTGGCACCCTTGAACACTCTATGTAGGTGCTGAAGCCCAGAGAGGGCAAACAATTTGCTAAAGTCACACAGCTGCGAAGCAGAGGAGAAAAGATCCCGAATAGGATGACCTCTAACTTTTTATCCCTATGAGTGAAAGGCACAGACTTCTAGTCCACATCCAGAAATGTATTTCCAAGAAATTCCCTCAAAGAAGGAAAGGCACAGACTTGGCCTCATTATAAAGTCACACAAATGTAAACTGATAGAAATAGATAACTAAGATAACTCAAGCCCCAAACCAACTGACAACCATTGCTTCCTATGATGGATTATCTATAAATACTAATACTTGTGACTTACCTCTTTAACGTTCCTTTCTGAAATGATTCCAGGGATTTTAAGAAGAGGTTGTTTGCAAAGTTTGAAAATGATCCCCCATCTCCGTGTCTATTGGACATGGCTTACCATGATCCAGTTCAATGTTTGATCCCAGAAACCAGGGGGGCTTTACGTTCCACTTTTCAGGTGACAGTCAGCAGTGCCTTTGTGTCCATAGTTTGAGGACTCTGCCGGGTCAGCCTGGAGCAGTGCCCTTTGGACCTCACTGACTCGGTTGCCTTGAGGAAAAGCAGTTGACCGGACTCTGATGGCTACAGTGTCCTGTAGAAACCAAAAGAACTCACTTGACTCTGCCTCAAGAACAAGAAGTCTATTCTGTCCTTGACAAGGAGCACACAAAGGAGTCAAAACATTGTTATATTTTACTCCTACCTCTTGTCCCCAGCTCAAAAGTAAAATAAGCCAAAGGAAAAGTCGTAGACTATGACTGCAACGCTAAAAGAACATCCTGTGTTCTTTTCTGATTTCTAAGAATTACCTGCTGTTTGACAAATAGCTGAAAACATGGGCACTTGCCATTGCTTTACTTCAAAAAGCAACAGCAAGAGGCAAAATAAAAGTCAGGTACATCAGGAGTAAAAAGAGGTATTTTTTAAAGTTTATTCCTTTTTGGGTATTGGAGAAAATGAGATGGAACGTGGGTATGGGAAGTCAACTGGCAGAGACAGGACACATTATTGGTATTTCACTGAGGTACAACAATGTAGACTTGCCAAGGAGAAAAAGCAAGGAAGAGAGAGGTAACCCAGTGCCGAATTCAAGATGAGAAAGATGAAGGGCTGTAGAAAATGAATCTCCGGGACACCTTTGAGTTAACAGAGTTTCCAAACTGCGCCCGATGAAAAACAGAAACCCCACTAATCTCCTTTTCTTTTTCCTTCCAAGCAGTGCTGGGAAATTCCATCAGGAACATGTCCCCGTTTTCTGGGAATTAATCCAAGCCAGTTATAAAGTGAAGGGCAGGCTGTTAGAATGATGGAGAAGCAGCTAGCTGAGAAAGCAGAAACCATTTTTTTTATTATTAATCCACTGAGAAATCTCTCTCATCTGATGGGATCTGTGGATATTGACTTCATCTTCTGCTCCCAAGGACAGATTTCAAGGAAATCAGGCCCAGGAAAGGGAGGCATTTACTTGCTTATCAGAACAAGTGATTGATGCCCAAATCCCACCTATCTTTTATGCATGATTAAAGCCCTTCCTCCGACTAAAGTTTAAAGTTACTTCCTCCGACGCTTTTTACATTTTTTTACCCCCTTTTTCTATCTTTTTTTGTTTTTGTTTTTGTTTGTTGTTTTTTGGGTCATACCTAGTGGTGCTCAGGACTCACTCTCTCCTGGCTCTGCGCTTTGGGCTCTAGGATGGCTCCTGGTTGTGCTTGGGGGACCATAAGGGTTGCCAGGCATTGAACCTGGGTCAGATGTGTGCAAGGCAAGCACCCTACCTGCTGTAGTACAGCTCTGGCACCTCCCATGATATTTTCTGGGTGCCCCCACCATGTATGGAGTAATATTCTGAGTAAAGTGCTTTTTCCCTTTCCCAAAAGTCACATTCAAAATCACCCCCATCCCTCCCTTCTCATTATATTCTCAAACCCTGAGATGTTTCTAATTGCTCTCTTTGTCAGCTATGCAATGAAATTGCTTCCTGTGTTCTAAATTTTCCAAATCTATTTAATAGCATATATTTCCAAAATCGCAAAAATAATTTAACAACAATCCTGCTCCCAGGGAACTCTTAACCTCCACTCAGGAAAACACTGCTGTCCTTTGTCCTGCTGGCTTTAGGCCACAGATATGTCCACAACAACTGGAGAGCTTCTGAAGCTCAGGTCCCTGCCCCAACCTTAGAACTTTGATTCAGTAAGTGTGGGTGCCACGAACACCACAGGAGCAAAGATGTCACATCTACCACAACTCTCCTAATATGCTCAAGCAGCAGGGAGTATGACGGCCTCACATGGAGAACCACTGGTCAGGGAGGAGGGCTTTCCCAGGTGCAGTCTGAAGAACACAAAGTGTTTGCTGGAGCACTTTGCAAATTTTCTTCAGATCTGCATATTTTTTATGGGAGTCACCCCTAGCATTACTTGGGGCTACCAGGACATCAACTTGGGGTGCTGGAAGTGTTAGCAGGCAGTGCCAGGGAGCAAACTCAGGACTCAAACATTTCTTCAGTCTCTATTTCTGCTGGTGCAACCACTTTTCCATGAGAGAGACCTTGCAGTCCCAGAGGGCCTCCCACTGAGCTCCACTTTCTCAGTGATATCTGTGTTTGCTATCAGATTGTTCTCACTCTCAGAGTTCCTCTTATCAAGTCTCTGAGGCACTATCAGTGTTCTTAGCTCAAGGGAGATCAACCCTTTCTTTAAGCTCAGAGCCAGAAACTGCAGCTGCCTCCACTAACACTCTCTCCTCTCCTGTCTCTCTAGCTCCTTGTTCCATTTTCCTGGTGGAGATGGAAGCATCTCAGATCTGGAAGAGGGCCTCAGGAAATCAGGAATCTCAACTCAAGAATTTCCAAAATCAGGACTGGAGCAATAGTACAGAGGGGAGGGTGCTTGCCTTA